AGTCCAGACACTAAGAACACATGTGTTTCGTATTTGCCTGTTTTATATGTCAATTTTTGATACTAAAACTCTACTTTTACACTGTAAAATAACTTGTGTACTTATTTTGGATTAATAAATACAATCATACACTGCCGTAAGCCCGTCTGACAGTAGCTTTAACCCATTTGTGTGTACGTTCAGGTGTCTGTTATCCCGGCGCTGCTGTTTAGCCGAAATATGGCGATCATAACTCGATAACCTGACGGTACACAGAGGTGTTTTCAGAGCATAGTGAATATAAATGCAGATTCAGTGTTTTAGTGAACAACATCAGTCTATTTAATACAATAAACACCAGAGTAAAATGCAGATAACCTACTAACTCTTACTTGAGTCAGAGTCAAACTCTTCCTAACGAATATATAATGATATACAGGCGTGTAGCCAGCCTGGGGGGAAATAGGGCTTCTTTTTCTAAAAAAAAATGTGGACCTTTTTGTATTTATTTGCATAAAATCCCCTAAACAGCTGTCAAAACTGACCAAAAACAATCAATTTTATTCCGTCACTAATTGATAGATATATGTATTCATCAAAATGGAAAAATTTTTTCTTATTAGAATATTTATTAGTAATGCATGCAATGATTACAGAATAAACAAAAAATGCAAGAAATGGCAATGACTGATTTTTGAAATCTCTTTCAACAATTGCAAAAAGAGACTGAAAGGGCAGAAGCACAGCTTCGCCTGGCAGAGGAACAACTGACTCTGACCAAACTGCAGCAAACCAAGGCCAGACTTGAGATCCCCCTCCTAAAGGATACGCTTCACATAAGATGAGGAAGTCTGAGATTATTGTGGAGTTTTTGACATTAAGTATTTTTTAAATTTACATCTATATTTGAAACTTAGGTCCCACTTTATATTAAGTGGCCTTAACTACTATGTACTTACATAGGATTTAATAGTTTGTTACAATGTACTTATTGTGTAAATACATGTATTTACTGTGTACTTATGCTTGATTAAATACAAGTATGTAACAACATCTGTAATTAACTTTTGTAATTACATTTGTAAATACACTGTTGACCATCCCTTACACTTTAACCTACCCTTAAACCTACCCATACCACCAAACCTGTCCATAACCCAACCTCTATCCCAACTCAAAAGCACCACAATTGTTCTCAAATACATTATAAACACAGTAAGTACATTGTATTTATTTTTTGATGTAAGTACATAGTAGTTAAGGCCACTTAATATAAAGTGGGACCGAAACTTATTATAAATATCCTCAATGTATAGTGTTTGTGTTGTAGGTCTCAGATGAGCGGACTGCTGGAAAAGGATGGGGTGGGCTTTTTCTTGTTTTTCTTATTTATTATTATTATTAATTTAATATTTATTACATTTTCTTAGTTTTCATTTAAAACAAAAAAAAATTATATTGACCCCACGCTGGCTATTCTACTTGTCGCTCTTTACATATCTATAGTTCTACATTGTGATTTCCTATCCTGTTTGAGCACTGGTAATCCAGATTTAGTGATCCTGAAAAGCTCCTATCCAGATCAGATTGATCCAATCCAATGGTGCTTTGAAAAACTGGCTCAAAAAGTAAGCTGGATTACCTGATCACGGATCGCAAAAACAGAATTACTAAATCTGGATCAATTTGATCCGGATTAAACCTTTTAAAAAACCGGGCCCTGGAGTTTATGCTGGAATGTTTATCTCCAGAATGAGGGTTGAGCACCCCTGCTCTAGATCTATCAACACAACACTTGAAATTCCATTCAGAATTATCTCTTCACTTAACATTTGATTAAACACTCACAGTGCTCTTCTGTAGTTGCTGATAGCTGGTATCAGTCTTCTTCTGCCCTCATCTGACGTGTTGTACTTCTTGAGCTCCAGCTCATCCAGCACCTCCTCTGATATCTGAAGCATGTAGGCGATTGATGAGCAGTGAGCAGGGGAGAGCCTCTTCTCCGAGTGTTTATCTGATTTCACAAACTCCTGAATCTCCCTGGACAGAGTCTGATCTTTCACTTCCAGCAGACAGAGGAACAGATTGATGGATCTTTCAGTGGAGAGTTGATGTCCATCTCTGATCTTCTCTTTAATGTACTGTGTGCTTCTCCCGATGCTCTCCGAGCTTTTCTCTGTGCGTGTCAGTAGATCCTGTAAGAGGCTCTGATTGGACTCCAGTGAGATGCCCAGCAGGAACCGCAGGAACAGATCCAGGCGCCCATTCTCACTCACGATGGTCTTATCTACTACTCTTTCATGGAGATTATGCAGTGAATCGAAACATGCTTTTGTGGTGTTGCTTATGTGGTAGTAAAACACATGTAAAGCAGCAAGAAACTCCTGAATGCTCAGATGGATGAAGCTGTAGACTTTCCTCTGATGAATCACAGATTCTTCCTTAAAGATCTCAGTGCAGATCCCAGAATACAATGAGTCAGAGACATCTATGCTGCTCTCAATCAGGTCCTCCTTGTAGAACATCACATTGCCCTTCATCAGCTGTTTGAAAGCCACTTCAGCAAGTTTGACAATCACTTCTCGGTTGGACTGGAGGAGTTTCTCTGGATCTCTCTCTTCATACTTCTGGTTCCTCATGCTGATCTGAATCAGTAAGAAGTGGATGTACATCTCAGTCAGAGTTTGAGGGATTTCTGCACTCAGATCGTCTTCCAGGAGCTTCTGAAGCACAGTGGAGGAGATCCAGCAGAAGACGGGTATGTGGCACATGATGTGGAGGCTTCTTGCTCTTCTGATGTGGGAGATGATTCTGCTGGCTTGATGCTCTTCGCTGATTCTCTTCCTGAAATATTCCTCCTTCTGAGGCTCAGTGAATCCCTGAATTTCGGTCAGTCGATTGACGTATTTGGAGGGGATTTGACTGGCTGCTGCTGGTCTGGTGGTGATCCAGATGAGAGCGGAGGGAAGCAGATCTCCTTTCATGAGGTTTGACATCAACACACTCACTGATGAAGCTTCAGTCACATCAGAAACTTTCTGACAGTCTGAAAACATCAGTGTGATTCTGCTTTCATCCAGACCATCAAAGATGAACACGACTTTACACTCCTCATAAATCTGTGAGTCCAGATGCTGAAGTTCAGGATGAAAGTCCAGCAGAAGTGTGTGAAGACTGTACTGATGATCTTTAATCAAGTTCAGCTCTCGAAATGGAAGCACAAAGATGAAATCTACATCCTGATTGGCTTTTCCCTCTGCCCAGTCCAGAATGAACTTCTGCACAGAGACGGTTTTTCCAATTCCAGCGATGCCTTTAGTGAGAACGGTCTTGATCTGCTCTTTCTCCTCTTTAAAGATGTCATTGCAGTAGATTGAAGAGTGCTGTGAGCGTTTTGTTCTGGCTGTTTTCTCCATCTGTGAAACCTCGTGCTCTTCATTCACTCCTTCGCTCTCTCCCTCTATAATGTACAGCTGTGTGTAAATCCTATTCAGTAGGGCATGGTTCTCTTGGAGTTTGATTCCCTCAAATAATCTCTCATATTTGTTCTTCATGCTGGTTTTGTGTTGGTCTTTGACGATCTGCAGTTTACTATCCTCTGATTTGTCTCCATTTCGTCTCTGTGTGTTACTCATCCTGAAGTCGAGGGTCACTGGCTCATCACTCAAGTTGGTTCCTGGAATCATGGATGTTACATTCCACAGCTGCGTTTCGGAAGCTCTGATCTTTTTCACCTGCTGATGCATACAGAAAGCAAATGGAAAAGAAATTAAAAAGCTTGAATACAAAGATTACATTTATGGTAACACTTTATTTTGATGGTCCATTTGAGTATTAGGCCCCGTTTACACTAGTGCATTTTAGTTTTAAAACACATAAGTTTTGCTACGGTTATAACATCGGTCCACACTACGCCAGAGTTTTGGATCGCCGAAAACGGAGCGTTTTGAAAATGCTGGAGAGTTCATTTTCATTTTGAAATGCTGCTGCTCTGTCTAAGTGTGGATGGGGAAAACGCAGACATCTGAAAACGGAGGCGGGGCTGCTGAGATTCGCTACCTAATTGGGGCTTTTGGGTCATTGCATATGCTTATTTGTCAAGCCCCTATCACATGACTATAACACATGGTTTTAACGCTACCGGAAGACCAAAGATATATACACTAGATATCGCATAGGGACCCTGAGCATGCGTCAATAGCGCCGCCACATTGCTACAGTGCTCCCAGGACTAATGTCATTCAACCGCACTAGTCAAGACAGAGTTATTACGTGAAGATGCGGGACTTTAGCGCTGTCTACGGGTGTAGTAACGAGCAAACAAAGAAAACAAAGCACAAAGGCAGAACATTTCATAGATAATATTAAGTTTTTTTCTGTTTTTCTATGTTCTAAACTTTTGTGCTAATCAGGTAACGTTATTGATAATAACAGTCACTTACTGCATTCACCATAAGACAAAGAAGCTCCAACTCGCACTAAACACTCGGCTTAAGCTAGTTTTGTTGAATAAAATCAGCAAACAATGCAAAAAAAATATGACAACGAGATGCTGCGCTGCCAGAAACTTGTGTTATTGTCAGCTAACGTTAGTGAAAGAGTCGTTCGGGGAATTCATTCACAAACGAATCGCTCTCTCCGTCAGTATGAGAAGTGAAAGCAGGAGAGGAGGTGTGTTTCAGGACATGATTAGATTAAATTTAACAGGGAGGGTGGATAGTACATTTCTGTACACACAAACACAAGCTTTTTGTCAGGAATGCCTGTGCGGTCACTGATCCATCAATGTAGAAAAGTAATGTAAAATTATAATTTTCGTAATTAGAAAAAAAAATGTACATACTAACATTCAGGAAAACTCCCGATCATAGATATATGTGTATATGTGTATATCTTTGGCTTTGGATGGCCACAGTCCTCCACTGTACATTGGTCCAGCATTCATTTCAAAGGAGCACCACCCTGTAGTAAGATGGCGGCGCTATTGACGCATTCCGTCCAATAGACAACAATAGGCCAGGCGACATCTAGTGTATATATCTATGCCGGAAGACAACAGACTAGCCTTCTCTGTAAACAACAACATGGACACACAAATGGAAGCGTTGTTTGCACTATTGTCTGTTCTAGGCGCCATTGTGCAGTTTACCTCTGCCTTTTTTACTACAGCAGCTGCATATATTTGCTAGAACGCGCATGCTCAGCATGCGCGAATGGTCACTTGATAGTGTGGACGGAGATACGTTTAAAAACGTTGAAACGCTAGTGTGGACTAGGATCGTTTTTGATCTAAAACGCCGTTTTCAAACTAAAACGCACTAATGTAAACGGGGCCTTAGTATACTGTCTGCTTAATATGTCAATACTGCTTCTTTAACAGACATTTACCTGACAATAAGAAACTTAACAAGTACGTGTCAGTTTACACTAAGCGTAACCCCAAACCTAACAGTCTACTTATAATCTACTAAGAATTAGTTGGTATGTAGATGCAATGGAACAAACATTCAACAAACGGACCATCCAAATAAAATGTAACCACATTTATTTGTTAACTCATAAACTCATAAAACTCATTAACTTTAATTTATTCATTAGCTATTAGCAAATAAGGAGCACAACAAACTCATTCAGTTAGGCTGTAATACCAAAGTTAATACAGCAAGGTACAGACATGAATTAAAAATAGATTTGATACAAGAAAAGTGAAAAGACAAAAAGAGACATTTACAATATGTTAAAGCTAAGCAAGATCTGCATTCACAGAATTCTGACTTTACACTTTCAGAAATAAAGGTACGCGAGCCGTCACTGGGGTCAGTTGCGCAAAAAGGGGGTGTGCAGTATATGCGGCGCATAGGGGTGCCACACATGCGGGGGCGCCATTGTGCCAAAGTTATTTTTGAAATTATCCATATTAAAAGTTTCAAATAATATATATATATATATATATATATATATATATATATATATATATATATATATATATATATATATATATATATATATATATATATATATATATATATATATAAATATATATATACATACATACACACATACATATATATATATATATATATATATATATATATATATATATATATATATATATATATATATATATATATATATATATATATATATATATATATATATATATATAATTATATATATATATATAAGTAATACTAAAATATAAATAATAAAAAATAACATGCATGCATCAGTCAAAGGCAAGAGAGTAAAATATGTCTTTAAAGGGCCATGACACCCCCCACTTTCGGTTAAAGTCTACTTCAGAATTTTTTCAAAGGATGCATGATTAATGGGCGTGGAGCTCCGCGAGCATCAGGCAGGAGTGGGCGTGGCCAGCAGGGGAGAACGTGAGCGAACGAAGCTAGCTCACAAAATGAGACAAACCGAGAGACGCATGAGTTTATAGTTTACAAAGTTAAAATGCAAAGAAATAAACAGTGATTTAATGCCCTGCTACATTTGTTATTCGTAATTTCATATACACATAACCACAATTTATATCATTATAAAGATAAGTGTGTTCATGTAAACCGTATAAATTGGGACTTCTCCCTCAATCCCCGTATCCAGCAGACTCAGTGCAGCAGGTCTCCTGACCCGTCTATTTTAACCATTAGCCCTGCTGGTAATCTGGAGGATTTAGGCGAACACAGCAGCACAGTGATGTGTCTGAATGTAAACGAACTCCTGATAAAAGTCAACATCCGCCATTCTCTAATTCTTGTGCTGCTCTCCCGACAAAAATGCTAGCAGCACACACACAGCTTTGCTGTATGATCGGCCCTGACAAGATCGCGGGGGAAAACATGCAACAAACCGCGTGGATCATGGAAACAAACGCATATGAGCCTTCATGAACGGCTAAATACTGTGTGCCCGTGGGTCCATGACACAGCTCGGGCTTGACTCTGGCAGGTCTGGCAGGTCTCATGAATAATTAAGCAGCCGGCTCTTCTCATAGGATAAGAAAACTCCGCTATGAATAATAATGAGAAACCGACGCGTCATCATTGCATTTGCAGTACTGCGCTACGTCGCCGATTTTAATCCGCCCCAAAAATAATTTTAAACCCGGAAGCTGAAATGAGCTGACAAAAGCTCAAAATTATCCAGTTTTCCCCACAATTAAAGCTGACAGGTGCTAACATTGTCTTAACTGATGCTCAACACACACAAATCTGTTAATATAAAAAAAAAAGTTATCCAGGGTGTCCTGAACCTTTAAGTTAGATTTAAAAGCATCCAAAGAAGGAGAGATTCTGATGTTCAGTGGGAGACTGCTCCAGAGCCTTGGGGCCGCAACACTGAAAGCTCGATCACCCTTTGACTTGTAGCGAGACCCAGGGACAGACAAAAGAAACTGGTCATTGGATCTTAAGAGTCTACAAGCTGTATATGGCCTAATAAGCTCGCTGACATAGGCCGGGGCAGAATTGTGCACTGCTTTATAAGTGAAAAGAAGAATTTTAAAATCAACCCTGTATTTTATAGGTAGCCAGTGCAATGAGGCGAGGACAGGGGAGATATGATCTCTTTTCTTAGTTCCTGTTATTTATCTGGCGGCTGCATTTTGGACCAACTGTAACCGAGAGAGTGTTGACTGAGGAAGGCCAATATACAAAGAGTTGCAGTAGTCTAATCGAGAGGAGATTAAAGCATGGGTTACGATTTCTAAATCTTTTTTAGAAAGAAAGGGTTTAACTTTTGCCAC